CTCAACCCAACTGCTACAATATGTCAACATATAAACAATAAATAAATTAAGTAGGCACATGAATACAGTCAATTACCAATCATACATCTCACTACCTCCTACTAGACCCCTCATAGTACACTAATTTGTTACCAGTAAATCTCATGAAAAGCATAATCATAAGTAACCAACCTACCAGTACTCTAGCCATCATACTACTACTGCTGCGTCTTAACATATAAGGATGTAAATATATATAACAACTCAATACAACACAACAAAATCCTAAACATAAGGATACATAACCAAAATCTATTGGACCGACATTAGTGCCTTTGACCCACAGGTATAGTGAGTAAACTCACATGAATCGAAGAACCTAGAAACACTACTACACACTCCCTTTTCTGCACTGCTTGCTCCCTCAAACCTTCTAACACCAAAACATGGTAGAATCTTAGTAAATTGCCTAAATCCTTCAAGTTTGACTCAAACTCAAACTGGTCAAAAAGTCAACGGTCAACGATTAATACATGTCAACGATCAGCAGGTTAATTGCCCCTCATGACCCGACGAGCATAGTTTCATGTCTTGAGCTACTAACATACAAAATAATTGAGAATATTTGATCCTCAAGACGTGACAGGATTAGTCTCATGTCGTGAGATCTATCTAAAGGTAGGTAACCATGTGAAAAGTTTCAACCCAATAAATGGGAGGGATATGAGCTTGAAATAGAAGAGTATGTATGAGGTTATTTCTTATGCAAATCATGTGTTCAGACATACCATTTTGTTGGAGAAGAAAAAAGTAATGCCATTTTGATCAAATAATTTATGAAATTCATGATTATAAAATTCACCCCCATTGTCACATTAAAATGATTTGATGTCTTGTTTTAATTGATGTTTAACGAAAGCACAAAAGTCATGAAATTTGGTTATGACATCATATTTGTTTATAGCGGATACACCCAAAGGAAATGAGAATAGTGATCAAGAAATAAACATAATAAGTTATTCCGCTAATAGTCGGTAAGGGAGAAGTCCATAGATCAGAGTGTATATATTCAAAAGGTTCAGAAACAATAGAAGTATAACTAGAAAAAGATAAAAAAAATATGTTTTCCTAAATGACATGCATCATGTGCAACAAAATTTAAACGTTTATTACAAGGGATAAAATTATTTAAAACTAAGTTATGTAAAACATAAGGGCTTGGGTGACCAAGACGTTAGTGCCACATAACATGATTGTTAGAAAGGAGAGCAACAAGGTAATGTGGCATCATGAATTCAGGGTAAAGATCAACAGTGCTATCAGACCGGATGAGGGCTTGCTTGGATAGAAATTCCTTCACAGAAAAACCAAACTAATCAATTCAATAGAGACTTTGTTATCTTTAGTAAGTTTACGAAATTTTTTATAATATAGGGAGTAACAAGAACACTATGTAAATGAAGAGGACGATGAATGGAAGGAATAATTGAGTGTCTAATGTCAGGAATAGGAATAGATGATTAATTTCCAACTAAGACTACTTTCTAAAGGAAGAGAGTATACCTATATCTAAGGCTAAGTGAGATATAGCACCCGTATCCGAGAACCAAGTAGGTTCGTTGGTTTCTTGGAGAGACATTGAGCTAAAGGCATGACCAATATCGGTGGCTTGATCATTGGAAACCAGGGGAGACCAATTCCAAGGTGGCTTCATAGAAGGGGTTTGCGAAAAATGAAAATATAAAGGAGAAGTCGCCGAAGAGAGCTGCTGGCCGAGAATTCCTGGCTGTTGCTAGGCGGCAGTTTGCTAGCGGCTGGAGTGGGTTAGCTAATACATCAGTTGGTAGTTAGACCACAGAGGAGGCTAATTGTGTGAATGCCAAGGTGGGGGGTAGCTGAGACAAGGCAATGACTCTTACTGCTACTGTGGATACTGAACAGGGTCTTTTATAAGCGAATGTCGCAGTTTTGGCTGCGACGGTTGTTGCAAGTTGGACATTCATTGTTACATTCTGTTTATTTAATAAATAAATAGATAAAATTGATGAACGGATAGTCACACTAAATCCATATTATGTAGTGGATTGTTGGTTTTGGGAGCCGAATGTATAATTTAGATTAATCGGGGGTTAAAGTGTAATTTTAGGACTTGTTTTATAAAGGATTTTAGAAGTCAGCAAATGGTTGGTATTATTTGGACTTAATATGTAAGGATTTATGGAAGTCAGGGGCTGAAAGGTAAATATTGGATTAAAGTTGAAAAGATTTTATGGAGTCAGGGGCTAAAGGGTAATATTTGGGCTTAAAGTGAAAAATATTTATGGAGGAGGGACCAAAAGTGTCATATGCACATCTAAGTTTGGAATTGGAGATGGGAGATCAAACCCGTCACCCATATCATCCATTCATCCAATATAACACACAATACCCTCTCAACCCTAACCCTAATCACTATTGCGGCCGCGACCTTGTATCCCTAACGTCCAGCCGCCACCTCCACCCCCTTTGGCGCTACCTGTAATGGTCGAGAGTCGATGCCGCCACACCACTGTCGACGAAGCCGACCCAATACACTGTTGTTGTCAGCGATAACAAAGAGCGACATTTTGTGGCCGCTGTTTCACCTTCTTCACCGATAATGTGATCCTTAGCTTCTTCCACCATTACCCCAAGTTTCGTCGTCGTGTTGGAACCGTAGAACCACCAGAAGTGTCGCCGCTGCATTCGTTCCGTTGCCGACGAAGGCCGCCCTTGGTCGTTGGGGAAGTGGGTAGTTAGTGGGACGTGGTTTGTTGCTGTTGCCGTTCACCAGTCGGGGTTACGACTTCCTTTCCTTCCACGTTCTTCTTCTAATGCGTTGTCACATATCCGCCGCCACCGCATGTGCAATGCGTTGCTGCTCCGGTCACTGTTTGCCACCTAAGAGGCGGTCAAGTTTGTGTTTCACGTGGGTTCAACAGTGTTGTTGTTCTATTTCGTGTGGTGCGTGTGTTATTTCATGAATGAAATGTTTATTTGGCTAAGAAAGCCACTGCCACCACCGTAAGGTGGTGGCTTTCACCCTGTGCCACCGCCGACCACCGTAAGGGTGGTTGTGTGTGTTTAGTTTTGTGAGTGTGTGTATCCATTTGGTATTTTCATTTTAATATTGTAACCGGAGGTAGAATAACAAAATAAAACTCAAACCACCACCGTAGGGTGGTGGCTGCCGCCTCCTGCCGCTACCAGCCGCCGTGTGGGGTGACAATGTACTTGTTGTGTTTGACTCGTTTGGGATGCATGGACATAATGGGCCAATGAAGCCTTAATTGACCTATAAGCCCTAACATGTGACTAATGGGCCTAATGAAACCCTAATGGGCCTAATGAAACCCTAATGGATCTAAGTACTTGAATTTTTTGGGTCTATTGGGTTGGAAACCCTAATTAGGGTTTAGAAGACCCTAATTTTGGACATATAGGCTTGGACTTATCGGGACCCAAATTCGGGCCATTGGAATGGAATTGTGAATTACACCCAATCATACCATACGACTTATCTAGTAGAGTGATGGACTTAAACTTAACCCTAATCGTCATTTTATGTGAAAATCCTAATTTCACTTAGTCTTTGTGTTCTGCCTTTCTATTGGGCTTTTTTGTTTGGGCCAAGAATAATCATATAGACTAGAATATGTTGATGGGCTTTAGTCTAAGGCCTATATGAGGGTTTGAGCCCAATTTGGAAAACTGGGCCATAGTTTGGGCCTTCATGATTATGAGATATTGGGGCATTAGAAATGCCAAATGTTGGACTGGAGTACATGGTTGGGCCTTTGAATAAGATTATGTAAAGGTCTGGGCCCAATTTGGAAAATTAGGCCATATGTTGGGCTTTGGCCCATTACTTGAATATTGGGAATTTAGAGTGTGAGTTGGACCTTGGGCTTTGAACCCAATTATTAATTGGGTATTGTTTGATGTTGGCAGTTCGGGAACCTGTCAACCAACATCTGGAGTTACATCCGCGGGACTTCAGCAGTGCGAGGTGAGTCTCCTCACCATACCAATGGGTCGGAGGCACCAAATCCGACCCATTTTGTATTATGTTGTACACTAGTTGATGTAGTGATATGTGGTATGCTAGTTAGTTATATGATATATGCTATGCTGTTTGTTTATGTGATATTTTCTTGAAAGACCAGGGGGGAGCTCATGACACTTGAATGTAAGACGATGTGGGGGAGCCCATGGCTTTTCAGGTAAAGAACATGGGGGAGCCCATGTCACTTGGATATAAGACCATGTGGGGGAGCCCATGGCTGTCCAACAGGGAAAGACCATGGGGGGAGCCCATGACACTTAAGTGTAAGACCATGTGGGGGAGCTCATAACATCCTTATGCATGGATATGTGTTCGAGTTAGCTTTTATAGCTAATGTTATGTGGTAGAGATAGCTTGTATAGCTAATATGATATGTTATGTGGTAGAGATAGCTTTTAGAGCTAATGTGATATGTCATATGTGGTAGAGATAACTATTTTTAGCTAATGTTATATGGTAGAGATAGCTTTTATATCTAACATGATATGTGGTACATGGTAGAGATAGCTTGTATAGCTAATATGATATGTGGATTGTGTGTGGGGTATGCTCTGGGAAACTCACTAAGCTTTGTGCTCACGGTTTATAGTTTTGGTTTCAGGTATCATTGATTTGGAGAAGGGCTCAGATTGATCGTAGTGTACACACATATGATTTCCGCAATGAATGATTTTAGGATGAACTCTGATAAATGTTTTACTTAATGATGAAATGAAATGTTTGAAATAAATGGTATCAATGTTTTAGCTATATTAAAAATGAAATTTTTACCCTTGATTTTTGGGTCGTTACATTTAGTGTTGTTACTGTGATTTGATGCACGAGAATAGTTCCCCTAGGTTTGAGATTGAGATCCTCCTGCATTGGTATGGAGCACTTGGGAGGACGAAGATTGATCTAAGTGGATGGCTTGAGATGCCCAGACCCGGTCAAAATGTTATTCCTCAAGAGCTAACATGGAGCGAACTTGGAGGAAAACCGAGAGAGGTTTACGATGGCATATAAGAGTGGCGATGTTATTGAACTTAGGTTCCAAGATATTGAGAAGATAAGCAACCAATGTTTTCTCAGGAACACGAGAGCCAATATTGGCTAGTAAATCCACCTTCACATGAATCTTTTGACAAAACTCCATAATGGATCGATCACTATGAACCATGGAACAAAGTTCATTCTCAAGTTCAATCGACCTTGCATCTTTCTTCTCTCGAAAGAGATCATCAAGAGTTTTCCAAACATCCTGATCCTTATGACCATATTTGAGAACCATAATGAGAATAGGTTGCGTGAGAGTGCTATAGATCTGCATGGTAGCAAGCGAATAAAGATTTTCCTATTCTTCATCTTTGTCACTTGTCAGATTAGAGGTGCCATCAAGATGATCGGAAACTCCATAGGCTTTGCAGTGGGTCTCAAAAATAACTCTGCAAGCATCAACGTTTTGTTTATTCAAGTAGAGAATCAATGGAAGGAAGGCTTTGATGTTTGTAATACTATAAGGGTTTGATGTTTTTGATGGTTGGGTAGAGTTTTCACCTTATGTCTTTCTAACGGGAAAGAGGGGAGACCACAGAGGGGAGATCGAGAGGAGAATGGAATGTCGGCGAAAGAGGGAGTCGTATGGTAGAGGAGGATCATAACTCTAATACCATTTTAGGGTATGGGATATTCTCTCTTGCTTTCATTCATATAGAAACACAAAATATATACATAAGATAATAGGTATGTTCCTACATACAATACAATAAGGCTAACATCTAAATGGGCTAATATACATATACACTAATATAAAATGCACTTTGGCTAGAACTCGCAATTTGGATAGATTAGACGGTTCCAAACTTTGATTTTATTTAAGCGTTGTTGCAGTGGATTGATGGCCAAGGGTAGACATTTTCACAGGTTGATTATGGAGACGGCTAACGTAACCTTGATTTTGGATCCTTTGGACGTAGAATGTGTTTGTTTTTGGGAAGGTAAATGAAAGAAAGGAACTTATTGTTTATTTCATTGTCTCTTTTTCATTTAAATGATTTTGTAATAGGAAGTCGTAAAGTTAGAAAAAATTGGAATGGGTGGATACAAGGCTCTCAACTAATTGTTTTGTTCCCTTGCTACCTTGTAGTTAATTTTTTAATACATACTATTGTTGAAAAGAAAATGATAGTTGAAAAACATGTACGTATTAAAGAAAGTCTTTTAATAAAATAATTAATATGTCTGGAATTAGATCTATTATTATTTTTAAGACAAAATTGCAAGAATGGTCCCTATGGTATGTCAAAACTAGCAACTTTGGTCCGAAATGGGTTTGGCTCGCGAGGATGGTCCAATAGTTTCGTTTTGTTGCGAGTTTAGTCCAAAAATTATAAAACTTTTTACAATGACGGATTTACCCTTGGTATTTTCCCTTTTTTAAATTTTTTATTACAGAAATAAAAAAAAATAAAAAAGAAAAAAAAGAAAATCTCTCTCTCTCTCTCTCTCTCTCCACAAAACACATCTTATTCATTCTAAGAAGAGGGTTTCAGTAAAGAGGGTGAATGAGGCTTCTTGTGAAGATGTTTCCGGTGAAGATGCTTCCGGTGAAGAGGGTTCCGTCAACCGAGGCATCGCTGCTATCCTTCTTCCCAAACGCTGATGGTTGTTAGGGTTTTCAGATCTGGTTCAATGTTGTTTTATCGTGGCGGCAAGATTAGGGTTTTGTTGGTTCGTGCTTATTTTCCTCCAACTGATACAATGGCGGCTAGATTAGGTTTTAGGGTAGTGGTTGTAACAGGGTTCTTATACCCAAATTTTTGCGAAGCCTGAGGTGTAACTGCCACCGTCACCTCCATACACGCGATGATTCCATGTATGTGGTGTCTTTGGCTCCAGTGACGTTTCAGGCGACGTTGAAGCCAAAACGGAAACTAGAAGGGTTTTTTTGGAGGTACAATTCTACTGAAACAAGATCAGGTGCAGCTCTGCTTGTAATCATCTCATGTATTCCACACTCCAATTAATTGTTCATGTTACAAATCTGATTGTTCTTGTGGGTTTAAAAATCTAGTTGTTCTTGATTTTAAAGTTGCAGATCAGGAAAAAAATATGTTTGAATTCATCATACGGTGGTGGTAGTTCTTGAGTTTCATTTTGAAATTGTAGATGCAGATTTATATGATGGTGGTGGAAAAAATATGTTTGAATTCATCGGATGGTGTTGGTGGTGATCGGCAGTCACAGTGGCAATGGCTATTGTTGGTGACCAACAGTGATGGTAGTGGTAGTGCTCGTGACAGACGGTGGTTGTGATAACATATCAATAGTTGTATGCTAGAGAGGGTGGAGGGGTGGGTTATGGATAGTGGTAGTATTATTTTGGTTTAATTATGTAAATTGTAAAATGTATTTATATAAATTAAAAAAACCAAAAGTAAGGGCAAAAACGTCATTATAAAAAAGTTTAAATTGACTTGGACCAAATCCGCAACAAAAATGAAAAGTTTAGATTAAACTCGCAACAAAACGAAACTAGTGGACCATCCTTGCGAGCCAAACCCATTTTGGACCAAAGTTGCTAGTTTTGACATACCACAGAGACCATTCTTGCAATTTTGTCTTTAGATATATAGCCTCTGCAAGTGATTTTGAAATTGCTTTATGTTGGGTCCAATATATAGCCATCTCGAATTATCGGGTCTTTCTTGGCATGCTGTAGCATAGCATATTAACAAGATTACCTACTTTTTTATAAACTTAATGTTGAGTATGTGGGGCTTCTCATGATAAGAAAAGAGGTTCTTGCATATTAAATACCAGTTTCCTTTTTCTTTTGATGGATGACAAATGGTTTTTTTTAAAGAATCTTCATATATGCCAAGTGTTTGATTGTTGGTTTCTTAAAATCTTGACTGCTTTGTGTTGTTCCTCATTATGATGATGATGATCGTTTTACAGTTTGGAAACAGAAGGCTCTAAAGAGATGAAGTGGATGAGGAAAAGGATAAAAACATCACAAAGTGAACGGTGGCCTAGAGATGTTCGATAGTGAGGCGAAGTCTGGCCATTTTGAAGGTGAAGGTGGTGACTAAAGGATTATATCAACCAAACTAACACTTTGATTGTATTAGAGAAATTCAGTATCACAAAACTCTAACAATTGACCTACCTCTATACATGATCAACGCATACATATATAGATCTAGAATTCATATTGGATTACAATTCCTAAACAAAGAATTAGGAAACTTTCCATATAACGCGTATCTTGGACAGCACTCCAAAACACCGATGGGTCGACCCGCGACATTAAGCCCATGGTCTCAACCCATTCAACCAACAATCACCCCATGAATGGTTGAGACGGCAACTCGCACACACCGAGTAACGATCTTATTTCACCGAACCTTACTCGCGCTAAGGCTTTTGTTAGGGGATCCGCTACTTGTTCTTTTCCCACCACGTGTTCAACTTCAACTTGCTCGTTTTCGACATGCTCTCGAATGAAGTGGAAACGAGTGTGAATATGTTTGCTCCTCCCGTCAAACACCGGATTTTTAGACAACGCGATTGCCGACTTGTTGTCTATACAAATCAACACCTTTTGTTTCTCTAATCCGGTCACCTCCGCGAGCAACTCCCTTAGCCAGATTGCTTGGCATGCTGCTGAAGTAACTGCCATGAACTCGGCTTCACACGAAGATAAAGCAACGGTTTCTTGCTTTTGCGAACACCACATAATAGGGGATTTACCAAGAAAGAAAATGTGACCAGTAGTACTCCGACCATCATCCATTTCTACATTATGACTACTATCACTATAACCCAAAAGTTTCAACTCATCACACTTTTCATATTCAATTCCAAGCGAAATTGTACCACGAAGGTAACGAAGAATTTGCTTGATCGCGCGCGCATGAGATTCTCTCGGACTTTGCATATAACGACTTACTACCCCGACCGAGTAAGATAAGTTTGGACGAGTGTGAAGGAGGTAGCGTAAGCATCAAACTATCCTTCTGTAATTAGTGGCTTCAAATTCTGGTTCATTCTCGGCTTTCGATAATTTTAGTCCCGGTTGCATTAGACATTGAGTGGCATTGCATTCTTCCATCCTGGCTTCTTTTAAAATTTTCATTGCATATCCCTCTTGCTTTATAGTGACACAACCCTTTTCTTGAGAAACCTCAATGCCCAAGTAATAAGTCAACAAGACAAGATCTGACATTTCAAACTTTGACGACATCATGTTTTTGAATTGGCTTGTTATTTCATGACACGTTCCCGTTACGAATAAGTCATCTACGGACACTGCCACAATGATATATTCTCCTTTTGAAGCCTTTTTATAAACCGTCGTTTCTTGCAAACATCGCTTAAAACCCATTCCTCATAAGATGCCATCAAGTTTAATGTTCCACGCCCTTGGTGCTTGTCTTAGGCCATATAAAGCTTTCGCTAACTTGTAAACTTTTTCTTCTTCTCCTTTTTTCTCAAAACCTTCGGGTTGTTGTACGTACACTTCTTCTTTTAATTCACCATGCAAGAAGGCCGTCTTTACATCCAAATGATAAATTTTCCATCCCTTCCCGGCCGCAAGAGCAATCAATAAACGAATCATCTCGAGTCGGGCTACCAGTGCGAAAACTTCATCAAAATCAATCCCGTGTTCTTGTACATAGCCTTTTGCTACGAGTCGCGCTTTGTACCTAGAAATAGATCCGTCCGCATTTCTTTTGATTTTATATACCCACTTTAATCCGATGGGTTTAACATTCTTGGGAAGAGACAACAACTTCCAAGTTTTATTCCTTTCAATTGACTCGATCTCATCTTTCATTGCCTTAAGCCATTCGGGTTTCACAATGGCTTCTTTTAAAGTACTTGGTTCCTCGTCAAACGATAACATTAATTCGTTCATGTTAAGCTCATAATCATTGAGGTGATTGGCAAAACGGAAACAAGATTAGAACGACGTACCGGGTTATTCTCGAACTCGTTATTGCCGTCGGACTCGTGATCGCTGCTGTCCGTATCAGGTTCTGTCGAGATTGTGATGTCCACTGTTGGGCTCGGGGCTGCTGGGCTCAGCGCTACTGATGGGCTTTCATTAAAATGTTGCTGAGATGGGGTGGCATTGGTATTGGGCTAGTGAGGCCCATTATGTGGCTGATTTATCAAAGTGGCCCAAGCAATTTTGAAAGTTCCAGAATCATTTTCTTTTTCAACTGTTTTTGTTCTCGTACCTTTTTCAATTTCCTTTTTCCATTTCCATGAAAACTTTTCATCATAAGTTACATTGTTGCTTATAATAATTTTATTTTCATATGGGTTAAATAAATGAGCACCTCCCGAACCCGATTCTGTTCCAAAATAAACCAATGGCCTCGATCTATCGTCAAGTTTCTTTAGATGTTTCGTAACAATCCTTTCATATGCAATGCATCCGAACACCTTTAGATCTTCAAGATTCGGTTTTTGACCATAGAGTTTTTCGTAAGGCGTGACTCCTACTAACGCTCTCGTAGGGGTACGATTTATAATATAAGTTGCATGTCGAATGGATTCTCCCCAAAACTGATTTGGAACTTCTTTTGCTTTCATAAGACGTCGTGTCATCTCGATTAGCGTCCGGTTTCGTCGTTCTACTATGCCGTTTTGTTGGGGTGAGTACGGAGCCGTTAACATTCTTGCAACACCTTCTTCGCTCCAAAAATGATTAAAATTGTTTGAAGTAAACTCTCCCCCTCTATCTGTGTGGAACGTCTTCATAGCCTTCCCGGTCCTATGTTCAATGGACTTTTTGAATTTTTTAATTACATCCAACACGTCGTTTTTGTGTTTTAACAAAAAAGACCACATGTATCTAGAAAAATCGTCAATTAGCACGAAAATATAAACGTTACCGGCCATCGTGGGAGGATCAATAGGCCCGCAAATATCTCCATGTAACATCTCGAGAATATTTTTAGACTTATAATTGGTTGTCTTCGGGAATGTGTGTTTGTTTTGTTTGCCTATCATGCAAATTTTGCAAACTTCTTCTTGATGTTTCAAAATTGGAACTCCATTAGTCAACTTGTGCATCATATTCACCACACCAAAGTTGATATGGCCTAGTCGTGCATGCCATAACCAAGACTCGTCATCGATCTTTGCTTGCAAACATTGGGGTTTTCCAACTTTAAGTCGTGTTTTATAAAGACGATTTTCACTACGTGGAACCTTCATTAGCAACCTTCCATTCCGATCTTTCATTGGCAAGTAATCACCATGCATTCTAATGTCACAACCGGATAGTGTTGTTTGGCCAAGACTTATGACATTGGTACGAAGAGAGGGAATATAGCAGATATCTTTCATAACTTTTTGCTCACCGTTTTTTCCTTCGAACAAAATTGATCCTTTTCCTTCAATTCGAACACACGAGCCATCTCCAAATCTTACTCTTCCAGTTATCCGTTTATTCAACTCCGAAAAATATGAGTACTTCCCGATCATGTGATTACTTGCCCCATTGTCGAGGTACCACATATCGTCAACTTCTTAAGTTGCCTCTTCTTTGGGTGGAATGTATTTGTCTTCATTTAGGAAGATTGTCTCTTCTTGCATCATAAAAAATGTTCCTTCTTCGTGATCGACCTCCTCTCGGGCATTGTTGAGATTTGCTTCATGTTTCCTATTACGTTCCGGGCATCGCGAAACAAAGTGTCCAAACTTATCACACCAGTAACACTGAATTTTTGATAGGTCTCTTTGTTCATGATTTTTGCCTTTTCGTCTTTGATCATCACGATTCTTTGATGAGTCCCTTTGATCGTGGTTTTGGGTGTTATCTCGACCACGGCCACGTCCTCGGCCTCGTCCCCCACGGTATGCACCACGTCCTCAAACGGCTTGAGTCTTCGTTTCGATTTGAGTTATCGGTCTTGGCATAAAGTAGCTTTTCACCGGAATCGGATGCTTTGCCGATTTCTTTAGTCCGTTCCTCGTAAGCTTTCAGCCGCCCAACTACATCTTCAAAAGTAATGGTTTTTAAATCCAAAACTTGCTCGAGTGCTGCTACGATGTGAATGAATCGAATAGGAAGACTCATAAGAAATTTCTTCACCAACTTCTCTTGTGAGATTGTTCCACCAAGTGTTGCTGAAACGGTCGCAAGTCCCGATAGTTTTGAAGAGAAATCGTCAATAGTGCTTGTATCTTTCATCTTCAAACTTTCGAATTCCGAAGTCAATGTTTGCAAACGTGCTTCCTTCACTCAATCCGCACCCATGTTCCGAGATTTGATTGCATCCCACATCTCCTTAGCAGTGGCGAGATTCCCGATTTGCAAGATTAAATCTTCCGGTATTGATTGAAACAATAATCCCATCACGATATTGTTTCTCTTTGCATCCGTTGAACCCGGATCAACCACGTCCCACACGCCGTGAATGCCGAGTAAAACTTTCATACGCATGTTCCATATCGTGTAGTTTAATGGCGTCAACTGCGGAAATTGAAACGAGATCGAGTGTGCCTCCTTCACGGGTAGATTCGCTCCATCTCCTGCCATGAATAATCAACAACAAACCACACACCTTCTTCAACGAATGAGCAATAAAATAATGATTCCAATTAAGAAATTGGAAACGACGACCAATAGGACCAGATGCTTTTTCTTTAATTGGACCACAAGAAATCAATTGTTTTTTTTCAAAACGATGTTCTTGTTCCAGGAGACAATTATTAAATAATTGGGGTATTAAATACTTGGAGGAAAAGCAACAATTTTGCATAAGAAGAAAAGCTTTTGCCGGCTTGAAAAAAAATCAATTGATCGGGAGCAAGAGGTTGTGGCTTTGATACCAATTAAAGGATTATATCAACCAAACTAACACTTTGATTGTATTAGAGAAATTCAGTATCTCAAAACTCTAACAATTGACCTACCTCTATACATGATCAACGCATACATATATAGATCTAGAATTCATATTGGATTACAATTCCTAAACAAAGAATTAGGAAACTTTCCATATAACGCGTATCTTGGACAGCACTCCAAAACACCGATGGGTCGACCCGCGACATTAAGCCCATGGTCTCAACCCATTCGACCAACAGTGACCATTTCTGAATTAAGGAGGAAAATGTTGGGTTAATTCAGAAACGGGGACAGTTTTGGTCCCAGGGGTATTTTCGGAAGTTTTTATTTAAATAGATTTTCTTCCGGTTTTAGAGTTTGACTAGGATACTATTTTATTTAGTATATATAGATGTAATTGTTTCTTTGTTAATTGTTTAGTATATATAGATGTAATTAAGGAAAAAAATGTACTTGTTTGTTTAGTTTATATCAATAAACAATAATCATGGCAATTTCTTCTCTCTTGTAGATTTAGGAACAATATCGAAACAAAATCTTGTCCTACCTTCTCCGCTCGTTCATCATCAAGAAGAATACCATTAATTTTGATTTTTGATTTTTGGAATCTCGTTTGAAGTTGCAGAAAATGGTGGCTTGAAGAGGAAATCACAGATTTAAGTTTATTTTAATAGATCTTCGTACTTCCTCCAGTAATCTTGTGTAAATCATGAGTAATTTGATTTTAATACCGGTCAATTAAAAGGAAATCTTATGCAATTATCAATCGAAACTGTAAAATGGAAAAAAAAAATCGATAGAAAATATGGATGAGAACATATACTCATCTTGGAAATAAAATTAGTATAATCTAAAAAATAAGTGTTGCGTTTTTTTTTCTTTTTTAAAGGTATATCAAAAATGGGATTTCATTCATGTTGATCAAATTACTGGTCATTGTTGTGTATTATGCTTGTGGCAATCCAATCATCAAACATAAGGTAATTTGGTAATTTGTTAATTTTTTTCCCATCATGCTATCAAATGCATATAATTTCCTTCATATTAGTTACTTTTGTTGATTCAAGTTCTGGTTATCAGGGAAAGATGAATACAATAAGCCCTGCTTTAAAGAGTTAACCTATCCTAAGTCTGAAGTATGCTTGTAACTTGTAAGAGAAACTTTGGCTTTAATTAATGTGCTTTTAACTAACTTTAAGGGCTTGGTTTTTCCTATTAAGTCATGTACGGATGTACCCTATTAAGTCATGTATGTATAAAAATATGGATAAAACGCTGTATACAAAAAGTGAATTTGCTTCTTTTTTGGATCTAAACATAGGAAAATGAGCAAAATGATGAGATGCTTCAAAAGAAACAAGGAAACAGGATTTCACAGATGAACAATATCTCTACTAAATCAAGCAAAAGACCATTCTTCAATGGCTCATTGCTAAAATCCAAAAGAAATTAAAACAAAGGATATGAAGTCTGTCGACATTGACAAACTAAATGTATAATCTCTAATAAAAATTTCTCAATCAAATACTCATCATGGACTCATGGCTCAGTTAATATGAAAGAACAATCTAGTGCTTTCTTTAACCCTTGCGATTTGAATCCAAACATGGAAGTACTAAGGCTGCACTTGTTATGATCAAGGTCTCGAACACTCAAGGAAATAGTAATAACATAGCTATAATTGTCAAATCAATACATAGGTGACCAAATAAACTCAAGAAATAGGTTCCAATATGTTTTCACTTTTCACTGCACAAGCAGGTCAATACTGATATGATTAACCCTAATCTATTCTCATAACTTGCAGACTCATGAGAGCAGAACCAAATAATCAATCAAGACCACTACCATTACAGATTCATGAGAGCACACAATAATCTTATCTAAATATCAAATCCAACCAAAACTTTCCACCTTTCAAAAAAAAAATTACAAATGAAGAAACAAATGAGTCAAAGTCGAGAGCAAGAGAGCAGAATTAACAAGAAAAAAATCCTACAACTCATTTACACAGTATTCTAAATCTACAACTTGATCATGTATAAGTACCAAATACAATAGAAATTTTGTAAATTAGCACCTCTAAACAACACTCATGTTACAAAGGCCATACAAATACAAAATCCAAATAGTATTATATTAGAATAAGCACAATAGCATATCTCAAAAGAAAAAAAAAATCATTGATTACATACATTCAAGAACTACTTGCATTCCACAGGATCTATGCAGCTTCTCTTCCTCTCTTGATTTTTGCAACTCTTACCATGACTACAACATATATCTTGTCTACCATTTCCTCAGCAAACATGAAAAGCTTCTGTCTCCACTGCTTCTTGAACAACAGAACTCCAATAACACCCCAAAACCCAGTTGCAAAACCACTCATTATGTCCACATAAAACAACCATACTCTGGTCTGCTCAGCTGCTTTGTGTTTCTTTTTGCTTGTTGTTGTTGTTGGATCTTTATGATTTGAGCAAGTGTTTGGCAATGGTGGTCCACATAGACCTTTGTTCCCAGAATATATTGATGGATCGGTAAGCGTCTGTAGTTGATTTCCAGTTGGAATTTGACCCGAGAAATTGTTGTGTGACAGATTCAAATGGCTCAAAAAGTTCAGAGCTGCCATGCTTGAAGGGATCCTCCCGCTCAACTCGTTTTTTGAGAAATCAAGAGTTTCCAAATTCATCATCTTTCCAATGCTCTCTGGAATACCCCCTCTCAGATGATTATTAGACAGATTCAGACCCACCAACATGGAAAGTGCAGATAGCTCAACTGGTATTTCTCCCTCAAGTTTATTGCTTGAAAGGTCCATGTTATAAACTATATCCCAAGTTGTTGTATATTCAAGATCAACACCTTTCATGACCTGAATCACATTCTTATCATCATAGAGATCAAAATAACTCTCATTCATCCGATGACTCACAACCATGCCATTTACGTTTCCTACACAACGAGGGATGGTTCCAGTTAAGTTGTTGTATGGAAGATCCAAAACTTGAAGATTTGAACTTTTGCAAAGAGATTGAGGAATTCTACCAGTGAAGTTGTTTTTGTGTAACCTCAAAAATACCAAAGATTTAAGATTTTTCCCTATCCAATTGGGTATATTTCCACAGAATTTATTGTAACCCAAATCTAAGACTTCCAAACCTTGTAGATTCCCCAATTCCTGAGGAACTTCACCAGTAAAGCTATTGTTGTTCAAATTTAACCAAACCAATAGTGAAATAAGAGAAATAGTGCTAGGAATGACACCAGAGAGCTGATTTGAGCTTAATCTGATGGTAATCAAACTCCGCAGATTCCCCACACAGTTGGGAATTTTCCCACGTAACATGTTTCTTGAAAGATCAAGTCCTTGCAAATCCGTCCTTCTGCACAACGACCGTGGAATCGACCCATTGAAAAGGTTATATTGCAAGAGTAATAAAGGCTTATATACATGACCATTTCTCGCATTAGGAAGGTTTGTCAAAGATCCGCTGAGTTTGTTGTGAGAGAGATCTAACCAAGAAATGATGGGCATCTTCTGCAGCCATGTGGGCAGCGGCCCCGAAAGTGTAGCATTGGACAACTCTAAGCTCTTAAGTTTCCTCTGATGTCGAAGCCACTGCGGAAATCCATTCCCGATATTGCAAGAGCTGAGATAAAGAGTTTTCAACTGGAATGGAGGTATCCACCCACGTGAAACATTGAATGTCATCTTAGTGTTGGAATAAGTATACAAGTACTTCAACATCGAAAGATTAGCAAAATGGGCTTCGGTAACCACTCCTTCTAAAGAATTGTTAGAGATAAAGAGATGACGGAGTTTGGCAAGTTGCCCAATCGAAACTGGAATAGTCCCGTCTAATAAATTAGAATGTAGATCCAAATCTGTTAAAAATGCTAATTTTCCAAGGGATTCTGGAATTGACCATTCAATTGGTTAGAAGAAAGGTCAAGTTTGGTAAGGTTACCAAGGAACTCTGGAACGAGACCAGTCAAGTGATTTTGAGATAGATATAGTACTTCTAAAAATCTTAATCTACTCAGAGATTCAGGGATTGAACCTGTCAATCCATTCTCCGATAGATCAAGGTGTCTTAAGTTTGCCAGTCTTCCAAGTGTTTCTGGAATTCTACCTTTTAAACTCCGACTTAATTCCAGAAACTCCAAAGCATATATGGAGCACTATGATGCATTTTTTGGTGTGTCAATGATTTCCATACCAAACTCATTATCTGTTACACTTAATTGTTTCAGGTGGCACTGTCTCCAGACTCCAACATCCTCAATCTGTTTTAACTCGTTGCCAGAAAGATGAAGCTCTAGAAGTTTAGGCATAATAGGAAGAGATGAATTCAGCATGGTATATGAAAGATCAAGGATTCTTAGGGAACTCATGTTAGTCAAAAAGGATGGAAATATTTCTCCAAGTGGATTATTGCCAAGATTGAGGTGCTGGATGTTAGAAAGTGTAGTGAAATTAAGAAGAGGGGAAGATAGATACGTATTATGGCACCCACAACCTGACCAATGCAGCTGTGACAAAGAAGGGATCATGCTTAGTAGGTTTGGAAAGTTCCATGTCAAACTATGATTAAATCCAGAAAGACTGAGGAATGTCAGGGATGTCATGTTTTGAAGAAGGCTAGGGAGTGGACCTTTGAAAGAATTCAATCCATTGATCTCAGTTCAAACCATTATAAGCTGAAGGCAGATGATATGGCATGGGCTTATGGCCTTTCGTCACTCGAGATTCTTGACTTGAGTTATGTGGATCTTAGTGGAGCACACAACTGGGACATGGTGCTTCACATGATTCCCTCGTTAAAAGAGTTAAGTTTGTCACATTGTAGACTTTCCAATGTTAATCTCTTAATTCGAGTACTGTACTTCCTGATATCAAACAACCTTTAAATTAGAAAGCTTTCCAATGTGAGGAGGAATAATACCTTCAAAACCAGCATCAGAGAGATTGAGGTATCTCAGCTGTTTCAAGGATCCAATGAACTCAGGGATCCGACTTCCTTGGAAATAATTCCCACTCAAGTCAAGGTATTTGAGATGCCTCAACTCTGCCAAAGAAGAGCTCACTTTATTACCAGTTAAGTAGTAATAGTCATCTGTTTCGAGATAAAGGTGTTCAACATTTCCAGTGACAACATCACACTGGATTCCTCCCCACTGGCAACACTCATTTCCAACCCATGATGACAACAATCCATAAGGATCTTCAACACTGTGTTTGAAGTTGAGAAGAGCAAGTCGCTCTTTCTCAAAGCAAATGACACTAACATTTCCAACCCCCAAACAAGAATATGTGGCTGCAAACAAAAACACACATACGAAAATGATATGAATGCCCAAACACCTCTGATTACCCATTATCAACCCTAACTCAGTTTTAGTTTAGAAGAAAGTTTAAGTAGAAAGATGGGTTGTGATGATGAACCGATGGGTTATGTTGATCAAGTAACCACAAACTTACATTTATAAAGAAATCAATGAAGAATAACTTGTTGCAATATTGGAAGACTTGGAAGTCAATTAAAAATTTGTAACCACAAACTTATATTCTTGTGTCCCCATGGCACACACAATTGAATAACAGCAGAGTACTTGACAAACAAGCATTTCCATTTTCGTAAAATCATTGACAGATTATAAATTTTTGTAAGTGATAGTTACAATTATAAACATGGAATTGGGCTACATACATTACATTTCCAACATGTCTAATGGGTAAAATTTAAAACCGTGGGAAAATATAAAACAATTAGTTCGGTTGAGCAGGTCAAATGAGTGGAAACCTACCTATGGTATGATTTAATGCTTAAGCTTCTAAATCACAATATTTATAAATCATATTATTAATTTGATATTCTTAAGGCTAAATAAAAACAATGTTCAAGATTACTAATAAATATATATGTTCACACTTTCTGATACATAAGAGGTCCATTTAGTTCTATTATTAGTTTTTGACACTACATTGGCCTCCCTAAATTAAATCACATGCAATATTCATTTTGTTTATTTGTGTTATTTTATTATATGAAAATAACAATTTTAATTTATCACAACAAAATTACAAGTTGCAAACTAAGTAGTACATCATTCACTACTAAAGTACTCAAGTATTCAAGAAAATAAATACCCCATGTGATTATTGTGATGGGAGACTTGGAAGTCAATGGAAATTTTGTCATCACATGCTTTTGGACTTTGTCTAGATTTACTTTTCCCTGGGGCACACATTATTGTCCTTGGCCACAAGACATGGAAGACAGTTATTTAGTTCTATCCGTAAACTTGTATTGTTTTAGTCAAAGGGCTAGTCCTCTTTTCCTCTCCATGAAAGAAAGTGCTATTTAGCTAAATCTATCCCCCATGTGACATGTAAATGCATTTGCCCACAAAAACAATTTAGATGAACCACATAAAACACAAAATTTGACAAACAAGCATGTCACACGTGAGAGCAATGTTAAAATACTACTAGTCAACAGAACATTGGAAAAACAAACTTGTATACCTTTTGATAATTTCAAACATAAATATTAATTATATAGAAAACATGTGTCAGTTTATAAAATAATCAAATTCACCTCATATGATAAAGGATGCCTGGCTCCCCTGTTTCCTGTCTGATAAAATCCTTGTTCGGGCTCTCATTTAGTTGATTTTTTTACCTATTTTGACATCGTCCCATAGTTTTAGGCTTTAGGAAATATATACAATATTCGCAATCTCATTAATTAACATCATTTAGTTCACTTAAATCACCATTATCCAATTTATTCCATAAATTCCCTGAATTGACAAAAAGGATTTTCTAATATGTGCCGTAGGCACATATAAGAAGCATTAAATATCATAAATATTACCATAATTAAATATAAAATTCATTTATTATAAGGAATATTGTCATAATTAAAAATAAAATACATTAATAATCTCCATAATAAATGAATTTTACATTTAATTATGATAATATTTGTAATATTTAATGCTTCTTATATGTGCCCTTAGGGCACATGTTAGAAAATTCCTTGACAAAATTAGGTCACTAAACACAATGCCTTGATTTAGATTACATCCCAACATCCAGTAATCTTGCAACCACTAATTTAACACATTTTAAGCAAACTTTACAAATATAATGAACATACCTTGACTGAGTCGGCTCCGACTTCGCTGATTTCTCCTCAATATTACTATGCATAAATCGACGTGCCGCTAAAAAAAAACATTGCATACTAATGAGGTTAATCTTCACGAATTCTCCTTTTTCCGTCTTTAGCTTTAGAGGGTGTTTGTTACCTCAAAATGACTAGGCAAAATGATTTATTTCAAAAGAAGACTATTTTGATAAGTGTTTATGTTAGAATTTATGTTGAAAATTAACAAGTCAATTGGTTTTTTTAAAAAGGAGTAAATTACACGAATAGTCCTCGTGCAGGTGTCAAAAGACATTGTTAGTCACTTAGTCCATTATTTCAAAAACTAACTCGTGTCATCATTCATTTGTTAAAAACTGACATATTTCATCTATCTGGACATAAAAAAAACTAATTCGTCCTTAATAATTTCTTTTTGAAATTTTTATTTGTTTATTAGTTTTACATTTCAAAATAAACAAACATCCCCCGTTCATCCCTTGGACGCCAGAGCTTCCCCCCCCCCCCCCCTACCCGTTTCCTTTTCCCCATATTAAGTTCGTCCCCCGTGTTCTCATAAAACTGGAACAAAAATGGCGAACCTGAAGCTACTGTAGCACACCATCGATCTTCTTTGTCACCCCTTCTTCTTTTCCATCGACCCTCCAACCACCGATCAACGTAATCACTTCCGCAACTTGCCATCAACATCGTAGCTCACCACCACCACCACCACTAGATATATTCTTCAATTTTTATGGTACGGGCGTTGTCGTCGATGTATAAGCCCAAACTAGCAGTTATCGTCGCCCATCACTAACACCACTTTGCTTCATGGGAGGTTTGAGACACTGACATTATTAGGCATGGTGCTCCCGACATGGTGCTCCCGCCGCAGGTGCCTCCCAATGTTTGTGGGTTATCGATATTTTTGGCAGCCTGAGGGGGAAAGTGGTGTGTGGGATCTTAGTTAGTACATTAGTTTCTTCTAGTCCGATAGTTCTTCTGGCGGTGGCTTCGATCTTAGATCTGAGATGATGAAGATGAATGTTTGAAACCATATGTGGCTTTCTGAGATGATGGAGTGCACCAAAGATAGAAGAGGGAGTTAACAGATCAGATATGAAAGAGGCAGGGAGAAAGAGAAAAAGAGATAGATAGATAGTTAGAGAGAGAGAGAGAGAGATCAAGGAGGGTTTTGGTCCATCAATGATTAAAGATTTTGGTCAGGCAACTCATTGCTAGAGTATTGTTCGGGGATCGATACCAGAGTTACTTTTGGTGGTGGTGTTTGTAGCAGATTTCAATGACATAGTTTCTTTTTACACAAAATTGATTTACCTAACTTTGACACTTTATGTTTTCCCAATCCCTCTGACACATCTCTCTTCCCTTTTAATGTAAGTTTTCCAGGAATCTTCTTTAATACACTGTTTTGGGATATTTCTTAATTCAGGGTTTGTGGGCCGTAATTCGATCAAGTAAAGGATTTAGACCTCTAGTAATTAAAGATTAGTAAATCTTAGACCTTACTGAAGGTTGATAATAATGGTTATGGGATCTAAGCCCTTGATTCGTGTGCTGGAACCGAGGATAAAATGGGAAAAGTTATATGCCAGGCTTCTTGCATGGATTATGGTTTTAGTTCTACATGCGGTAAGCCAAAAGTAACTAGACAGATTTCTGGTGCTCTTCAATACCTTATAGTGCATATAAAGAACACCAAGGATGAAGTTGAAATGAAGAAGTTATTGTTGTTTGAAGTGGAGTTGGAAGTTGGGTTTTTTTTTGCCATGTGCAAGGTGTAGATGCTGAATGAGGAACGTGATTTTAATGATCTACGCATGGCATAGGTTTTTCTACGCAGGGCGTAGCCACTGCTGAGCAAAACCCTAATCTTAAGGCTTTGATCCCTATTTAATGGCTTTAACTTCTTGGAGCCCTTCCTAATTATTAGCATCCATTACCTCATATCATTCCCTTGAAACCGTAGCCACCAATTGTGAGTTTTTGAAGCATTAGTGTGATTTTTATATGCATTCTTGAAGAAGGAGTCCATTGGAGAAGCAAGTGTGTGGTCCAAGCTTTGTAGTTCTGGACTTTGTACTTCATCACCTATTTCCATAAGGTATAAAGCTTTCATCTTGATGTTCCTTTAGTTAGATCTAATTACCTCATGGGTTTTTATTCCTTTGTCCCTTAACCTTGGTCCTTATGAGTATGGGTTAATCCAAACCATTTGAATGCCTCCTTTTGATATTTTCGAGGTTATAGGTGTTGGATTAGGTATCTAATCTCATAACTATAATTGGTATACATTTAAATTGATAGTAGTACAATCCTTTTGAGTTGCCCTTAAGACTAGCAACTAGACAATATTATTTTGGAGAGAGAGGTTGATTGATTTGTTATTTGATTAATAAATTGAAATAAATAATTTATTAATCTATTATGAAAATAATATATTAATTAGAAATAGTAATATTTAATTAATATTTAATCATAAATTAATTGGAACTAATTTTAGGATTCAAATAATTAATTAAAAGTACAGGGAATGAAGTGCAATTGTTCAATAGTTGAGCAAGAGACAATCCATAATCCTACGTAGGCTTGGACGGTGTTCTTATGGCCTAAGGGTTCTATAATAGTATTTGGTAGATAAATAGGAAACTGGATAACTGCCTGGTTTAAGATTATATTAGATTATGGATTATCTAGGGTTTCCTGACTGCACTATAAGTAGGGCATAACCCTATGATTTTCGGCCATCCTAATCTTTGGAAGACCTAGCCAAAAGTTTAAGCCTCCCTCCTTATTCTCAATCATATTCCATTGCTAGTGTTGGGTGTGAACCATTAGAGGCGCAATATTTGTGGCATGTGCTCTCAAGGCTTCAACAACACAAGGATTTGGATTGTTATTACAATATAACAATAAAGGTATCTTTCTCCTAACCATGATTGTGTATTTCGATTATATACTAGTATGCTAATGTTTTTCTATTTTGTTTTTCAAGTTGTATGTTCAATTAGAGAAAAGTGTAGACCAAAACTATTTAGGGTTGCATGCACACATATGATTATATGTTTTGTATAATACCTATCAATGGTATCATACCATAGGCTTAGTTTTCTATTAAAATGATGCAATGGTTGAACTTAAACAAGGAGAAGCAAACAGAATCATCATTCTGTTCCACAAACACGGCGTGGTGTTCTTCTACCACGGTGTGCTGGCCTGTGAAATCCTCGTATTCTTCCACTAACAACGATGACGAAGAAGATGACATTGTTGGTGATGTTTTGTATCAGGATGATTATGACTCCTCTCCTCTTTTGTCTAACTTTTTTTTTGATGTATTGTGATGAATTTAGCTGTTTTTATGTTATAAATTGTTATCTTTCTCTTTTCACTATGTGTATAGGCTGGATTCTCTTAAGGATGCTGCTATAATAAACATTAGACTAGCAAATCAATTATGAATTATATAAACTATGCTAGCAATCTGTAAATATTGTATCTATATATTTTTTCCAATGTAATACAAGGAAACGTGATCACGTTTCCTTGTATTACATCAGAAAATATATATAGATATAATATTTACACATTACTAAGAAGTTGAAGAACCTATACTCAATCAAATGTCCGAAGAAGGATTGTTTTGTGAAAAACAAATTGATGTCACCAAAAGCTTGTATGAAGGATGCTTGGCGGAAAAGATAGTTCACATGGAACTACGCACACAATGTCACACCCCCAAACCAAGGATGGCGGAAACGTCCGGGGGTGGAGGACTTCATGTAGTATAACAACAACGAGTATAATAGTGCTCAAAGTAAATAGAACCATCATAAATATAATTGAAAAAGTTACACCAATGTATATGTTTACATGTTTCAAATCAATTACATTATGATGACAAAATGAACTGTTCGACGATTCAACGTCCCATCCTCAAAATGCTGTTGGTTTTTCCTGTTTCACTGATTTCCAGAGAATACAAGTTGTTTGAAAAAGTATCAACACAAAGGTTGGTGACTTCATAAGTTTTTGAGAATAAGAGTTTCGAAACCTTTCTTTGTAATGTGTTGTGTGTCACCAAGAAAAATCCAATATTTTCCTTTATAAAGTTATACGATCCTAAATCCCAGAACCAAGAATAAACAAGTATTTTCCATGCTTAATGATATAACTGTGGTTTTAAATCGGCATAAAACCCTTTTTTTTAGGGAAACATCCTGTAATGAATGACGTGTAGTCTCAAATACCAAGACCGAGAGTGTACAGTAATATCCGTACTTATTGAGATAGAAAGTGATTTTAAATTGTCATAAAACCCCTTTTGATTATGAAAATTCCCGTAAACTTTATGAGTTGTTAACTTTCTATGTGAGTCTCTATAACCATACTATGACTGAATGAACCTGCCACGACGTTTCTCGGGCGTCGCGAAACTGATATGACATTTGTCACCACAAACCTGCCGGTCTAGCTGTTGCATGCAACTCAGGTGTAGGGTGTCTAACCCAATATAGATCTATACACAACTATCACGTTCTCCATACAAGAGACTTTGGATATAGCTACCAGGAATTTGGATCCCGCACTCGGACGAACGGGAAGAGAGTGTCTCACAATTTAAGTTAACAAGTTTACGTGTGGTGTGCATGAGTGTAAAACCTTTTTTGTATAAATGTACCCTTTTTGTATGAGTGTGTTATGTGATGTATCATAAACTATATCTATTATATTTTATCAAAACAAGGGTAAAAGTGGTAATGTACATAAACTATACTTAACATAGTTTATTCAAATGTTTGTATGTAATAGATGTACTTTGATTATAATGAATTGTTATTTCTATGCTTTGTCTAGAAAAATCCATTTGTTAACTGATGCATGTCTATATACTAAGGCAATATTTTCATATATTGCAATAACACATAATCACATAAAGATATATACCTTCCTCAATATGTTACAAGGTGAAATGAAATTGATAGTATTTTTCTATTGATAACATTTTCTATCCCTCTTCTTAGAAAATTTGTAGAAAAATCATCAAAGTTCCAAATCAGAATCCAAAAATTCTGAGAGTTTGGAAAATGAGTCTAGTTTCTCCATAAATTTTCTCACGATTTTTAATGATCTCTAACTTGTGTTAACAAGTCCATAATCACAGACTGGTCCGGATTGATGTTTGAAATGATAGACAGTTTTGTAAAAATCACCATAAATTGTATAAAAATTGTATGGAGATGTGCAAGTAGTCGTGTTAAAGATAGGAATTGGAGCTACTTGCACCTAAAACATTTTTGAAAACTAAAATGTTTAAGTTGCCCAAAACAGTCTGTGAATGGAGTCTAACTTTTCTGATGAAAGTTATTAGAAAAGTTAGTTATGTTCTTGGTGTTTTAACTTGTATTCCCCCTAAAAACTTAAGAAAACATGAAAATGTAGGGGTATGAACTCACCTTGAGTGGTTTCGGTAGATGAGTGTTGAAGAAGAGAAGTGTTCAACTCAAGAACACTTGAAGGATCACTTGAAGATTCAAAGATCTAACAAGAATGTGATGATGTTTGTGTAAGGAATCAATGATTTGAGTAAAAGGGAAGTGTGATAATCATAAGGAGGGTGATGATACTTACCAAAATGAAGGAGAAAAGCTGGAAAATGCCTTGGAAATCTCGAATTTGTGTGAGAG